GAAAAGTGATTCTTCTCTTGGTAAATAAATTGTTTGGTAAAAGTTTTTTTGGTAAATATCATCTTGTGAGTTAGTAATAACAATTGGAAATTTTCAACCTATTTATTTATTCATATCTTTTATTAGAACAATGGCAAAACGTTCAAACACGAATGAGTCTCATGACACAAGTAGTAGCGAAGATGAGCTCCGGATAGACGTTTGTACAGATATGTTAGAAATTTTACACAGAAATGTTACTACAGATATGTAGAAGGTTTTCTTCTACAGTTAGTCCATCGTTTTGATAGCAGCGATAGCGATATCGTCCAAGCAACAAGGCGACGAGAGAAAGAGTTCGCATAGATAGCGATTACAACAACGAAATAAAATTATAAAACAAACAATAACAAAATTATAAAAAATAAAATATTGATATTTTTGCAAATTTCTCGGTTTCAACCAAATTCATATAAGTCCAATATCATTATAATATGTTAGTTAGTTCCAAAAGCATACTAAATAATACGAGGGTCTGTAAATGCCCGTTTCTGCCGAAAAGTGGTGCCGAGTAGCTGGTAGCCAACACTCAGAATGGTTCGGAGTGCTAAGGGTTAAAACTTTGAGTGGGGCGGAGTAATTACAGCAATGTCCGTTGACCGCGGATCTTTCTGTGGTGCGAGCGATAATTTCCGGAAAACCCTTCGGATTACACGAGACAATGGGTCCGTCACGGCGGAGCATCGGAATGCCAATAAAACTCAGGGGAGCCGGGTGCAGGCACGAAGGTGCATCCCGTAATTTCGATGAGGAGGGGTAGCCGCGTTGCACCGGGGGTTCCGCGGAGCACGTTTCACGGGGAGCGCGAAAGGAAAGCTGGAAGCGTCGCGCCGCGCCGCGCCGCGTCGGGGAGCGCGGTCGGTTCGTATTGGTATTGGTTGGTATCACCCGTTGATAAAGGGGCCAAGGGGTTCTAAGGGGGTAGATGCGTCGGCGTGTTGCGCCGTAGCTTTTGCCGCGGCGCCCGCCAGTCCATAGGCGAAGTCCTAACGAGCAGCCGGCGTGCGAGCCGCGTCTTCGGTGGAACCTCGCTCCTCGCTCGCGATCCAGTCGATCTTTAACAAGTGTGCGCCTCCGCGCGCGTGTTCGATCTCCGCGTCCCGATCTCCGTATCCGACCCGATCCACCGATATTACAACGTTTTCTTTTTCTTTTTTCTTCGGCGTCGCGCGACCGCGTACATCCGCGGACGGTCACTCGGGAAGATTCGATTTTTAGGTGCGATCAAAGATCGGTCGAAAGCGAGCCGTGGCGACCTAGAAGTGTCCGCGATCGATCCCGAGGATTCTGACAGCAGTGCTGGTTACACCGTGATCCATCCGTGAGCCTCCTCCGGAAGCCAGTGCGGAGACATGTGACGGGAGGGTGTCGATCGTGCGTCGACCATAAATCTCGGAACCAGTGCGGAATCCGTGTACCGATACACACCTCCTTCACGGGGATACTTGTAACCGTATAGCTCGGTTCGAAAGTACTTCGACGGTCTTAGCCGTGTGGATATATATGTATATATATATATAAACTTTGGTTTGGTGCGTTCTCACATGCCACGGGCCCGCCGTTGCTCCTCCCTCCGTCGACGGAAGTGTGTGCGATGAATTGTTTTCGTTTCTGTGATTTATCGTCCCGCGGAAGTGATTGAACGGGGATCGAAGTCAACTGTATACGTGTAAGTCTCACGGCGCCGCAAATCATGCGAATGCAATTTTTCGGGCTGGCTAACGGCTGGTGCTCAGCGGCAGGGCCGAGCGGAGAGGTCGTTCAATTTAGCGGTCCTACGCGGACTTTGTAAACAACCAGATGTGACCAGTTTACGCGGTTCTCGGGACAACGAGCCGGAGATTTCGCGGAGAGAAATTAGGTTCGCCGTGAGAAATTTTTCGGTGACTTTGTCATTGAGACCGGCATGGTTTTTCGGAGATTCGGTGCCGTTTTCATGGTTTTGGGGTGCCGTTTTCGATTCGGAGATTTTCATGGTTCGCTCGGGTCTTTTTGGAGATTTTTGTACACTGTTCGCTGTTGTCGCGATCATCTTGTTTCTACTATTCATTCCTTCGTGAAATGTCCATGATATCGAGTGATTGTTTGATGCGTCTTTTGACGTAGGTGTGTTCATTTTATTTGCTTCGTTCTTTTTTTCTCTCGAATTCTCTATAACACGATGTAATTATCGTAGATATACGATATTTATGTCCATCCTATTTGCTTCATTCTTTCTTGAAATCGCTGTAACATAGTAGAATTATTGCAGATTTTATTCGATGTACTTATGTGCATCCTATTTGCTTCGTTCCTTCCTGAAATCTCTGTAACGTGATAGAATTATTTCAGATATTATTCGATGTGCTCATGCTCGTCTTACTTGTTTGACTCTTTCCTGACACCTCCACGATACAAAGCGATTATTTCACGTATTATTTGGCATACTCGCGATCATCTTATCCGTTTGATTTCATCTCGAAAGCTCCACAATTTAAAACGATTGTTCAACGTATTATTCAATATACTCGTGCTCGTCTTATTTTCTTCTTTCTTGCTCAAAATTTCTACAACATAAAGCGATTATTTATCTCATCCGATGTTCTCTTGCTCGTCTTATTTGTTTGACTCCTTCTTGACACCTCCACGATACAAAGCGATTATTTCACGTATTATTTGGCAAACTCGCGATCATCTTATCCGTTTGATATCATCTCGAAAGCTCCACAATTTAAAACGATTATTCAACGTATTATTCAATATACTCGTGCTCGTCTTATTCTCTTCTTTCTTCCTCAAAATTTCTACAACATACAATGATTATTTAATATCTCATCCGATGTTCTCTTGCTCATCTTGTTCCCTTCAGTCTTCGTAAAAATCTTCGCAATATAACGTGATTATTATGTACACGTATACTGTTGGAGATACGCGTGTTCACCTCACCCGCCTCATTCATTTTAGAAAGCTGTGTAAAATGAAGCGGCTATTGAACACATTGTCGGACATAAATGAAGACTGATGAGACTAGATCACTCGAAGGTGCATCGCGAAAGAAACGGTAAATATTTCCGTCGTGGTTTGTCACCTAAACAAAGACTTCCGAATACTTCTACATTATGCGCGCATCTTTCATCTTCATCTGTCTCTTTTACGACCAAACGTAAATTACGCGAACGTTTCTCTTGCAAGAAACTACGGTTCACGGTAAGCTTCGCGGTTATCGTTGGTTTTTAAATCACTTCTGTGGTTGACAATCGTATGGTTATGCTGTGCCTGGATGTTTACGTGATCGTCGTAAATTTTTCTACGAATCGTAAACAGCAGACTCTAAATTCATCGACCTCTCTGTCGTCGGGGAACCAAATAGTTATTCATTACCGTTTCGGGACTTCGAATTATGAATACCTGGACCTGTTACGTGTCGACGTTTCCTTGCTTTCTTCGCATTTTAACGAACGTTCGAATCGCATTTACGAAAATTCTAGCCAGTGGCAGTCGTGCGAGAGCTTCGAAAGCCGAACCGAGACTTTCGGACAGAATTATCGTGCCGTTCAACTTTGTAAACACCGCCGTTGCTGACAAGTTTGCTAATTACTCCGTCCTGTCGTTCTATTATCTTGCGAAACAGCAATCACGCTTTTACACTAGCTGTTAATTTAAATCAACAAGTTTCCTTATTACAAAAGGACAATCCCGAAAAGTCATTGCTATTGGGACATTACGTTGGGATTAGTTTCGATTACTTTTGAACGAGATGATAACACAAGTGTGCCACCAATGCAGTTCGGATCTCTCAGTTATAATAGTTTACACAAGTTTAGATTCGTACACGTTAGTACATATTAATACATATTAGTACACATTAATAGATATTAATGCACATTATAATTCATTAATAGACATTAATACATATTAGAATGCATCAATAGACATTAATACTATTGGGACATTACGTTGGGATTAGTTTTGATTACTTTTGAACGAGATGATAACAGAAGTGTGCCGCCAACGCAGTTCGGATCTCAGTTATAATAGTTTACACAAGTTTAGATTCGTACACGTTAGTACATAGTAATACATATTAATACACGTTAGTACACATTAATAGATTTTAATGCACATTATAATTCATTAATAGACATTAGAATGCATCAATAGACATTAATACATGTTAGAATACATTAATAGACACTAATATACATTAATGTACATTAATAGACATTAATAGACACTAATATACATTAATGTACATTAACAGACACGAATATACATTAATATAAATTAGTGCACATCAATGCACAATTTAGTATCAGCTTTAGTACAAGCTGATCGTCGAAGAATTGTAACAATTTTAAATTTAGTTTACAAAGTTTACGAAAACCAGCTTTATTGATAACGAAAAGAGCGATGCTGTTACATAATACATAAAATATTTTTCTAAAAAGTAAAATATATTTGTTATTAGAGCTAAACTGTTCTTTAAGCTAGCTTAAGTAAACGAAAAAATATCCGCTTTATACTTTTATTTCAAATAATTACAAATAAGTGAATGAAATTTGCAAGATAAATTTCATTTACATTTATTTCGTATTTAACCTTCGTGCAATTTCAATGATGACATATTACGCGCATATTGCAATGATGACAGTGGGTTAGAATGATAATGGCGTAGGCGACATTCTCGAAAGTTTCGACTGGAGCCTTAAAATGTGATCTATACATGCGAAAGTGTTGAAAAGACGAGAGAAATAAATTATAAAGTCGCTATAAATTAACTTCATTCGAAATTAATTTCACTTCGAATTAACAAGAACGCTCTAAAAAAAAATGATGCTTCCAAGTTCACCTAATTCTGCGAGAAACATTTTCATAACATCGCGAACCGGCGAAAGAAAGAATCGGAAACCAGTTACTTGCAGTGTTAAATTTATCGGACAGATCGCCCTATGCCTTCCGCCACGAAGTGTACGTTTCCCTCGGCTTTCTCACCTGCGCGTTCAACAAACGGGCGCAGCTTTCGCCGGATCCCGATTGTCAGGTTGTTCAGCCGCGATTATAAAGATCGTGCCGGTCACCGCAAAATTGGGGCACACCCAGCCGTCCCGCAGTTTCGTATCGGAGGTTTCCGGCGCACGGTGGAACAGGGAGGAAAAATGGTGGACAGAAAGGAGCCGGAGAAAAGAGGGGAAAAAATACGTGTCGGGTAAAATGGGGTAACAAGAGGGAGGAACGGGGTAGCTGGGGACGCGGAACCGGGAAACACCGAACAATACCAATTGCGACAAATTACACGTTGCTTTATCCGGTAGCGCTGGCTCGCGATTAAAAGGGGACGCGACGCGACGCGACGCGATGCTACACCGAATGCCTCCAACCTGCGTGCTGATTCTCACATTTTTATTCGTCGCTTCCTTTCGGCGCAAGGCTGCGCGTGCGAATGTCAACCGAACGAAACTTATCGCGGGAATTTAATTAACGTATCGGCGATCGACCCGCGCTCTTCCGCTGCACTTTTTCGCTTCGGAATCGGCCGAACGGATTTGCTTAGAATACCGCCGCTATCACGGGCAGCTTCCGATTTTATTTTTTGCCGATGATGCCCGGAGTAACGCTTTTTCAACGATCCGCGCCATTGAGTTTCTGTTCGGATTCGAAACTTTTGAATTACAACAATTTTCGTGCGAGTATAGATGCAAACTGTTCCGAAGTTTCTCCGCTGTGCGGAACGCTTCGCGTTGAATCGGATTCGTGGAGTTTTTTTCATTTGATAAATTCGCAGTTTTTAATGTTGCGTTCGCGATAGGGAAAACTAGCGAACATCTCCATTGTTGATCTAAGTTCGATGCACGCGAGTTTCGCACTTTTCTCGCACGTATTTTCGCAGGGCCAACTACGCTCTTCTAACCGCTGCTCTGCTATCACGTTTGTTGGATTTATCGTAGATTTACGGAATACACAAAGAACAGCTGTTTTATATATTAGTTTATAAAAGTAACAATTAGACACATTTATCCTGATTTTTAACAAGTGTTATTGTAACATATGCCGTAAGTAACATATAAATCGAATAAATAACTCGTAAATGTATCTTTACGATACGAATAATCGTAAATTAAAAAAATTAATGACCCGTCATTTTGACGGGTTCCGTAAATTTAGTGTTAATGATACGTCCTTTGACAACAATTAATATTTAGCGAGCTAATTGCGATGCCGCTCGTTGAACACAAATAGGAATTAACTAATCAATGATCCACGTTTAATTATCTTCTTCATCCATAAATGCATAAATTACAAATACATATATAGAGAATGGTTGAAATAATTATCGTTGTAAAGCAAGATAGTTTTTAGTTATTTTTAGGTGGAAAGATAGAGCGACCTGTCCAGTGAATGACAATTTAACATCGAAGTAGTAAAATCGACCGGTTTCATCTTCTGTGCGGAATGTTTCGCGACGGATCAGATTTCCGGGGTCGAAGTAACTCCGAGTTCTAAGGATTCGTTGGAGTTTTTGTTAGCGAGATCGATTAACGAGGATTTTATAAAGGTAGAAGCGCGATTGCGTCGAGCACCTTTAATCTGCTCCGGGGAAATTGCAACTAGATTTCGTGACGCAAGTTTATTATGAAGCGTGTACGTGTGCGCCCATAAGCATGAATCTGCTTTACTTCGGAGAAAATTGCG